AGAAGGACAAGAAGACTAGTGATGCAAAGAAGGAGGAGAAGACTTCCGAGGAGCGCGCGAGAACTGAGAAAGAGAAGGAATCTTCTGAGAGATCAAAGGACAAGAATGATGAGAAGACAAGTCCAAAGGATGCTGACAGAGAAGAAGGTACTGCGATGACATCGGAGGTTGAGAGTGCAAAGGATGAGAAGAAAGACAAGAAGGAGGATAAGAAGGCAAAGGCAAAGAAGGATGAAAAGACTTCGAAGGAGGCTGCAAGTTCAAAGTCCAAAGAGGAAGAGGAGCATGATGAGACAACCAAAGAAGCTGAAAGGAGTTCGAAGGAGGTTGAGAAGGATGAGAAGAAGAGAGGAAAGAAAGAGAAGAAAGCTGTCAAGCATGATGAAAGATCTGAAGAAGATAAAGCAACTCTGCGAGATATGAAAGAAGTGCCACCCAAAGAACCCGAAAAGAAAAGGAAGAGCGCATGCAGTGAACTATCTACAACTGCAACTGGCAGTTCTGAGTCAGTCTCTGAGAAAAAGTCCAAAAAAGATCCTGCAAAAGAACGTGGTGACAAGCGAGGATCGGTTGCACCAAAAGGTGAGAGCCCAGAGAAGAAGAAAATCAAGTCCAAAGTCACAGAGGAGTGGGGTGGGGGCTTGTTTGTGGGATGCAACTATTCGAGAATGTGCAAGCCCGTCACATAATGATCAAGAATCCCATGGTTCCATTCCCTTGCAGCCGGCCTGTGCTCAGGAGGATCTCAGCCGTGCGGCATCTCGCCTGGACTTCCCATCTCCTCCTGCGCCAGTGGAAAGGGTCAAGACTATGCCCAGCATTGAGATGTTGGAGACACCGTCGACGGTAACATCGAGCCCTCCAACTTCGATGGCCAAGGACTGTTGCACCATGACTACAATATAGCCCCCATGACCATCCAAAGAACTGCCCCCCTCAACTCTCAACCCTAACAATATTTTAGCGTGCAGGACTCAGAAGGTTCTTCGACCAAGACAAGTCGTAAAAAGATTCTCACCCCTGAAGAAAAGGCAAGCTTGGAAGCAATGGCTTGTCCGGGTGAGATGCCTCCTGACGAAAGGAAGCGACAGTACAGTGCCATGCGCAGGGCAATTGTCAAAACCTGTGAACCAGCACTGTTAGCAAAGTTTCAGTTGGCCAACGATTCCGAGAGGCCGATCATTTTTGATACCATGTGCTAGCTTTGCTGCAGTTTCACCTCATTCTATCAATGGCAGCTATAGACCATCTGTAGGTACCATCCCTCCCATCAGGTGGTCGATGCTCAAACAATGGCTTCTCAATGATGGCAAGACGGACTCCATTACAGTAGAGGAGAAGTACTCGAAATGGGTTGAGCAACTTCGTTCTGACCGTTATGTAACTGTTCCGGGGCATGCAATCAGGTATGCAAGTGAGCTACATGTGTTATGCATGCAACATAGCATCGATCGGTTAATGTACATGAACCAGGTTACCAAACTGCAGCTGTACAAGATCTATGGGAAAAGCAAAGAGGCCAAAGCATTTATCGATGAGCTGTGTCGTGGCTCCTAAGCAAACACTGGAGCGTATTGATCAAACCACCTCGATAAATTGAAGCACTGTATCATCCAGCATGCATGCGTGCATATTCTAAGGACAGCAGGGTGTGCCCCACCCGCAGGCACCAAATGTTGAAGCTGCCAAGATGTACAAAGTCCTCCGAGAAGTGCTGGAGACAACCAGCAGTGGATCTCGGAATGACCTTGCGATTGGGACCGGAGGTCGGGTGCGGGATGAGGCCATGAAGTCGTTGGTGGCCAAACAGCTGGGTGTTGCCA